GACACAAAGACTAAAGCCTGCTTATGCTGGCTCAAACCATGAAGCCTCAGACTCCCAGGGGGAGTAGCTCCATGCTCACCTAAATCCAAACACCACAGAGGCAGGGATGGAGGGCACCGAAGAACACGAGTGAGAGAGCCCTGGAATGTATAAAGGGAAGGGGAAGGTGACCGGCCACATCTTCGGCATCAGGAAAGGAAGTCTCTCTGTAGCTGGCATATGCGGTCCTGGCTTCTGCCCTTGTGTCAGTGTGGCACAGTACCTGACTGGCTCCTTCTCAGCCCTTCCAAGGAACTTATCTTTGGGGCTCAAATTGTTGTTTTGTTTGTTTGGTTGTTGCTTTTTTTTTTTTTTTCCTCCTTGCTCCCAAGGGACTTCCCACTCTGAGGCAGAGCTGTTCACTCAGTTGCCCTTCTGGGCTGTGGTTTTCATCCCTGGGAGCCTTTCCTGCATCTGGCCAATCGCATCTGAATCTCTGTGGTTGGGGCTGTTGGAGTCCAGGTTTTTGCACATGCTAAGCGAGGGGACTGTCACTAAGTGACACCCCCTGTCACTCACATGGACATCTCTTCAGAAGAGGGTTGCATGCATGTAGGCAGTGTGTATGTAGTGCAGGTGTGTACAGAGGCCGGAAGTTGGCATTTGGTGTCTTTCTCAATCACCCTCCACCTTATTTCTTTTTTCTTAATTTTCTTTACTTTTATGTGTATGTGTAAATGCCTGCATGTGTATGGGTACCAAGTGCATGTCTGGCGGCCACTGAGGTCAGAACTGCACTCCAGGGTGATTATGAACCACCATGTGCTGGGAACCGAACCTCAGTCCTCTGTGAGAGCAGCAAGCAATCTTAATCTTGGAGCCAGCTCTCCAGCCCTGTCTTTACCTTATCTTTTTGAGACAGGTGTCTCACCAAACCTACAGCTCATTGTTCAGCTAAAACTGGCAATCCCCAAACTGAAATCCATCAAACCCCAAGGGTCCCCACCCTCCTCCCCACCATCTTCATAGTGCTGGGATCTTAGATCCATACACAAAGCCCTGTGTCCGACTCTTTTGATGGCTCCCTCGACCATTTTGAAACACATCCCTGGAAAGACTCATACTGACAGTGTTAGGTACGCTGAGGGCAGGGGCCAGGTCTCAGTTATTCTCCAGGTTCCCCACATGAAAGAGAGAGTCTCTGATAAATGTTGGCTGTAGGATGAACGACAGCCACTCACAAGTGAACCTATGCCAAGAGCAGTTCCCAGGGGGTAAATGAACAAATGAGATGAGCAAGAATGAACGCATGAATGACCCAGCCATGTGCGTGGGGGAACTAAGGCCCTAGCGGTATGTGACTGAAGAGGTTGAATATCCAGGTCACAGCAAGTCCCCCCAGTATTATCACAGCTCAGAAACCTGAGGGAGCTGACTGTGCGGCCAAAGTGCTTCTCATTTATAAGTGAAAACTCATCCGGCAGTTTCCCAGTAGTGTGGGGTTGAAGAGAAGGGGAGGGGACGATCACGAGAACCTGCAGGGTGTGGATTCAGACCTTCTAGTCCTGGAGGTTCCTACAGGGAACTGAAAAGTCCTCTCTCAACTCCTCTGGCAAGAATGGGAATATATGGTTTAATGACAATAGCTGATTCAATTTCAAACAAGTGGCTCCTATCCACCTCCAAGAAGCTACTGTGAAATCCCAGACTCCTGGGTCTGGTTTTGAAAAAGCCTGTTTTGTGGGGGAGGGGAAACTGGTCTTTGGTGAGACCCAGACTCAGTCTGAGGGTTTTGAATGGACTCCGGACAAGGTTTTGATGCCTCTTTAATATCTCCCCCAAATGTAATTAGCTGTAATGAGCAGCCTCTGGGGTCTGAGTTAGGTCCTGGGGTGTGGGAGTGGGGAGGATTACAGTCCTCTAGAGGACTGGCCCCTACCAGCCAAGGTCCTGACCTGCACCACTCAGGGAAGCCTGGCCCATCATTGTTCCGCCCCCACGGCCTGAGCCACCAGGGCCAGCGAGCAGGGAGGTCAGAGCTGCCCCAGCCCCAGCTGCCAGTTTCCTGGTTATCTGAATTGAAGAGGTCAGAGGTTAAGTGAGAGATCAGAGTACCCGGGTCAGAGAAAGAAAAACAAATCCCCAGGGCCTTCGCCTGTGCTTTCCGAGGGTGTAGGCCGTGCCCTCTGCCACAGATGGGGGGATATTTTATATGCAGCCCTGTCCTTTTCTGTTACCATGTAAACTGATTGATTTTTGTACCCTCTTTAATTGAGTTAGAGGAATTTCATGAAGCAGGAGAAAAGGGCTGGAGGGGCGTTTGGATTCTGTTGGAGGCTCTACAGTTGGAAACGTGGCTGCGGCCTCAGCATTCCGAGAAGCTGTGAGTCAGGGCCGTGAGACAGGGTTGAGAGCTCACTCTGGATGGAGCCTGGTGAGAAAGGCTGCTGCTGAGCAAAGAGGCCAACCTCAGAGCTTGGTATTCTGTGTTCTGCTGTGTTTTCTGTTTTTTAAAACAAGTAAACCTGTAAAACCTGTAATCCCAGTGCTCGGGAGGCAGAGGCAGGTGGATCTCTGGGAACTCAAGGCCAGGCTAGTCTACAAAGCAAGTTCCAGGACAGCCAGAGCTGTTATACAGAGAAACCCTGTCTGGGGAAAATAATAATAATAATAATAACAATAATATAAATAAATCAAACAAACATTGTCTTATGTGGTCCAGGCTGGCCTTGAACTCCTTATAATCTTTCTGCTTCTGCTCCCTGAGTGCCAGGTTACAGGCAGGTAACACTGTGCCGGTTTATGGAGCGCTGTGGCTAGAACCCAGGGCTCTGTGGATGCTAGGCAGGCACGCCAGCAACTGTACGCTCTAGTCCAGTATTCTGTGCTGCTAACACACTCCTTGTTTGTTCATTTAAGTCAGTCTCTCAGGTAGCCTAGGCTGGCCTTGAACTCCTGAGTCACCTGTCTGCCACCTTCAGGCTCCTCAAAGAGAAGAGCCTTGCAGCATCTCCGCCGCTCTTTACCTTGTGCAGCTCTCAGAGGACAATGGTTCAGTGAGGCGTTTGCTGGGGTGGCTTGTGTTATACTAGAGCTGGGAACAGTCTGCATCACCTTGGCTCTGGCTGGGGCTGAGAGATGGTGACCTTGGATCTGTTTCCCCAGGCCTTCCTTCCCTTATCTGGGCTGTGGGAGCAGCAGGCCTCCTGTCCTTGCCTTGTTGTTTGCAACTCAGTACTGGTGTGCAGCCAGCACCGAGGCCTACAATCTCAGCCAGTGTCCCAAAGAACCCCTTCGCACCTCGAATATGTGGCTCTGTAAGATGGGCTCTGTTTCTTAGAATTCCCCAGTGGCCATAGGGTTCACTTGCTTGGTTTTTATTTACCCATGCCCTACCCCAACTCCCCTATCATAGACTAACTGTATCCTTTCAATCCCAAACAAACTCCCTGCTCTTCCATCTATAGAGCTTGGCTTTTAGTGGCTTTAAGACAATATGAAAAAAAAAAGTGTGTGTGTGTGTGTGGGGGGGGTGTTGTTCTGGAGTTATTGTCCTGATGAAATGGTACAAAGTATCTAAAAGGCCTGACACAGGTAAGTCCTCAAGTCAATAACTGTCATTGATAAAACATTTGCTTGAAAGAAGTGCTGGGGCACGTGGGCTTGGGTGGCTCACCAACACTTCCTGCCAACGTTCTTCCCCAGAGCGGAAATGCTTACCCCGTCCCACGAAGAAAGGGAGTGGCAGAGAAAAGCGGCTCCCGACATAAGCGGTCACAGCCATTGCCCCGTGTCTTAGGGATTTCATTTCTGTGAGGAAACACCATGACCAAAAACCACTCAGGGAAGGAAGGGCAGGAACTCAAGCATAGCCGGAACCTAGAGGCAGGAAGGAGCTAATGCAGTGGCCAACATAACTTGCTCAATCTGCTTTCTTATAGAATCCGTGACCACCAGCGCAGAGTGGTACCGCCCCAAATGGGCGGGGCGGGGCGGAGTCAGGCCCTCCCACATCAGTCACCAATTAAGAAAATGTCCTACAGGCTTTCCTACAGCCTGACCTTACAGAGGTACTTTCTGAATTGAGGTTCCCGCCTCTCAGATGACTACAGCTTGTTTCAAGTTGTTAGCCAGCACACCCTGGAAGGTGCCAGGCTTACAGCCCATTCTCAGAACCTTGTAGATAGCTAGTAGGCTCTCGACACACGGTGGCATACCTTCCTAAAACTAAGCTGGAACTAAATGACTGTTGGCAAGTCTGAGTAACATTCACCCCTCTTATTAGAGCATCAGATTCTTCGGGGGAGGATGGGCTGTGTGTTTTGAATGCCTGTATCCCCAGGGTTGAGCCCACAACCTTGCATATATTTAAGTCTGAATAAACAAGTGTCTGAGTACTGGGGGCATGAACGAAGAATGGAAACTCAAAGAGCTCAAGGGACTGAACACAGTTGGCTTGACCAGAGAGGAAGGGGAAGAGCGTAAAGAAGAGATCTTGGTTGCAGATGGTGGTGAACCGCATATGCCGAGTTAGTTAGGAGTGCGGGCTTGTATTGTGACATTCCTTGTAAAGGTCTTTGAGCCAGGAAGACATCTTTGTGACATGGCAGAAATCATGTTTGGGGAAGACTTTTCTGTCTCTTTGGCTGTAGAGTGGACTTTCCCCCCCTCCTGTGTGTGACTAGGTCTCTGTGAGCTTGTGCCAATCAGTGCATTGCAGATGCAGAAAATGCCAGCTCCTCATCCCTGATCTATCAGGGCTGGGATGGCACAGCTGCTTGAGGCAGCTGGTCACACTGTGCCCAGTGTCAGTGGTGGAGTTGATGCTTAGCATGTGAGAGGCCCTGGATTCAATCTTTGGCACAGGAAGGAGAAAAACAAATTTAAAAAAAAAGAAAGAAAAGATAGTCCAGCCCCTCACACACAAGACAGGGATGAAAAATGGCAGAAACACCCAAGCAGTTAGGAACTGCAGGGCTGTCTATGGGAGATCTCCCAGGAAATAGGCAGAACAGAGACAACCAAGGAATCGCTCCCACGCTGTCCCTGTTGGGAAGTAGGGTGAAAGGGGAGGGTCCATGTGAGCTTCTTTTGTTGGCATCAATAAATACCTGTGGAATTAACAACACTGAAGGAAACTGAGAAAGAAAAGATGGGGACCAGGTGCCAGAAAGCCGTCTGGCAGTTTCTCAGATCCTTAGTCAGAAGCATAGACTCCAGCCCCTCTCCTCCTTCCCACTCACCCAACAGAAAATCGAGGATATGCGTACACAAAGAGCCATAAGCGTTCACGGCCACCTTGTGTTATAGTCCTGAACTGGAAACAGCAGCATCCATCAACCAATAGGCATGTAAACAGAATCTGGGACATCTGTGTGTGAAAATACAGCTGCGGGATCACCACATTAGGTGATATAGAAAAAATTTGTCCGAGTGCCGGCAACAACGTAAGACTGTGGAAATGCAAACTAACCTATCGCAATAGGAAGCAGGTCTGTTTTTTTGGGGGGGGGGGTATCGTGACTGTGTCTGTCATGACATAGGTATGTGAATACATTAAAACTCTCCGTGTTTTGTTTTTTAAATATGTATAGAGCATCATCTGCCAAATATACCTTGATAAAGCCATTCAAAAATCATCTTTGAGAAGAAGGCCATGGCGGCTGTTCACGCAGTGCCTGGGTTGACATGAGCTAGCAGTCTGAATACCTGGAGTCACTGCCGCCCTGTGAAATGTGATAGGCGTGTTCTGAGACAGCTAACCAAAAAGGTTCATGGGGCAGGTTTGATGAAGCAAACACATAGCGTGGTGAGTGTGTGTATGTGGAGGCCGGGTGTTCATGTGGGTTGTGTATGGCTGTGGGGGTGAAGGCCAAAGGTTATCTTCTGGTGTCATATGTCAGGAGCCTTCTGCTGTAGTTTTGGAGACAAGCCTCCCACTGGTCTGTCTGGAGCTTGCCAGCAATCCATTCACCTGTCTCTGCGGGCATTGCAAATGCATGTCACTTTGTCTAGTTTTTTTTTTTAAAGATTTGTTTATTTTTTATGTACACAGTGTTCTATCTGTATGTATGCAACCAGTTCACATTACAGATGGCTGTGAGCCACCATGTGGTTGCTGGGAATTGAACTCAGGACCTCTGGAAGAGCCATCAGTGCTCTTAACCTCTGTGCCATCTCTCCAGCCCCTTTGTCCAGCTTTTTAAAGTGGTGTCTGAGGATCACACTCAGGTCCTTATGCTTGTAGAGCAAGAGTTTCATTGACCGAGCCATCCCCTTATCCCTGTGTGTGTGACTTTAAGAGGAAGGAGCGTGTTTCCCTGCCAGTCAGAGCCCTGGAACTTGCTGTGTGGTCACTACTAATTGGACTGATTGGCATCTGTAACTAGTTTTAAATGTTTAGAAAAGTTCATTTATCCCTTTCAGAAGTGTCTAAGTGTCAGTCTCAATGCACACACGGTGCTTGCTGTGTCAATGACCCACAATTTATTTAGGTTTCTTTGGTGACCCCTTGGGGGGGGGTCGGGTTATCTCCAGTGTTCTAGTGTATAAATCACAGCGGACAATTTGGTCAAGAGCAATTTGGCCAGAGGCGAATTGATTAAGCTGTCAGTGTGGCTGAAATGTTGAGTTCATCAATAATAAAACCTTTCGGTTACAATGTTTATACAAAGATCTTTTTGCTCCAAAGGGAAATTTTGCCTGGAATGATTTTCCTTTCTGTGTTTTCTTTCTTTTTCTTTTCCCCAGTGATGAAGATCAAAACCAAGGCTTCGAAAATTAGGTGAGCACTCTACGGTTGAGCTCCATCCCCCAATCAATTTCCAACCTCTGATGCACCTTCCAGCAAGCTCCTCTTTGTTCTGTTTCCTTTTCTTTCTAGGGTTTTCTCTATTTTTCAACACCATGGCATTTCTCTTCACTTATAACCTGTTTGGAATTAGATTGAGACGGAAGAAACATAAGCAACCATCGCTCAAAAGTTGGAAACAAACCCAACATTCATTATTCCACGTCTCATCTAGCGCCTTCACGACTCACGATACCCGCGCTGATGACTGATGGATCTTGGCTCCGCGTGCTAAATAAAACCTTTCAGGAGAGTGTGATTAAACCAACAGAAGACTCTGTTACTGACAATAAAGTGGGTTAGTGTGTGTGTTGGGGATGGGGGTGGGGGTTACTGGCAGTTGAGCCCAGAGTCTTGGGCAACACCAGGCAGATGCTCTGCCACTGAGCCATACACCCAGCCCAGAATGAATTCTTTAGAGGTGCAAACCAAATTCCTCCTCTTTGGTTGCTGTTGTTAGGTTGTTTGTTTGTTTTTTTGAACAAACACGGGGTTTCTCTGTGTGGCCCTGGCTGTCCTGGAACTTGCCCTGCAGACCAGGTTAGCCTCAAACTCAAAGATCCACTTGCCTCTGCTTCCAGAGAGCTAGGATTAAAGGTGCCACCACTGCCCAGTCAAGTTCCTACTCTTATTGCTACACAGAGAAAGTAACAGTGACATCTGACATCAAACCTCTCTAGCTCAGTGATGCTGTAATGTTCTCTTCTTCCGGCAGACCACCTCATGGGGTAGCAAAGTCAGACAAAGTAAACCCCCCAAACCAGGCCACTTCTCCCCTCTCCACCAAGCTGGGGTACCACTGTTCATCAGTGTGTTTTATTTTGCTTTATTCTTCTTCGCATGCAGGTAAGCTCCATGCTGATATCCTTTAAGTCCTTCACTTTCTGACAGCAACTGGGCTCCAGAGAGCCTGCTCCCGTCCACCATTCCTAGGCTACCCAAACTAAGCAAGGTCTTGCACGTGGCTTTTCTAACACCAAGGTACTGCATGGCTCTGCACTCTGTGATTTCTTACAGCAACAAGTGGTCACCCAACTTGTGGTAGAGAGTTCGTGTGAAACCCTCATTCAATTCTCAGTTCCCAAAAAGGGAAATAATAATAATAATACCAACTTGATAGTCAACAGTTATATTCCTGGATACTCTCTAGCTGGAGAGCATCAATGATTCATTTCTTTCATTTACTGTGTATTTACTTTTTATTTATATGTGTGTTCCTATGTGTATAGTTGCACATGGGTAGCCATGCCTCCAATGCTGTCCCTTAGTGATATCATCTACCCATGTTTTGAGGCAGGGTCTCTCACTGGGCAGGAGCTCACCCATTAGGCTAGAGTAACTGGCCAGTAGCCCCAGGAATCCTCCTATTCCCACCTGCCCCGTGCCGGGATTGCCAACGTGATCTACCATCCCATGCTTTCTTACATTGATTCTAGACACTGAACTCAGGCCCTTGTGTTTACTTTCCCAATTGAGACATTTCCCTGAACTTCGCTTGCTTATTTATTAGTGCTGGGAGGGAAACCTAGGCTCTCCCCCTTGCTAGGCAAATGCTCCACCACTCTCATCCGCAGCCCTGATTATAAGTTCTCTTTTCATGGTGAAGCCCTTTCTCAGGCATAATGGAAAAACTAAAAAATAAGGAAAGGGGCAGCAAGGTGGCACTTGTCAGACATGCCGGACTTCCCGAGTTTAGTTCTCAGAATGTGTGGAAAAGGTGGGGAAAGACCAACTGCTGAAACTGTTCTCTGACCCCCATATAGCTGTCATGGCACCTGGACACCCACACACACGAACATACTTACATGCATGTGCGCATACACACACACTAGTAATAATAACTTAGACTAAAACAGAACAAGGCGGAAGAAATTGCCAACCTGCTACTAGAAAAGACCATTGCTACCGGGCAGACCTCTGTGAGTTCTAGAGCGGGTTCCAGCACAGTCAGAGCTCCACAGAGAGACCCTGTCTTAAAAACCTGTCCTCCAGAAAAAAGGGGGGTGGCTATCCTTTTCTGACTTCTTTTCTGCTTGTTATTATTTCTGTCTTTCACTATGGGACCATTTAACCAATGCCTTATTGACAGACCTAGCATAGCAAGCCAGGGTGTACTTGATTGGATGAAAATAAGTTTAATCATTATTATTCCATGTGTATGTATTAAGGGGAATCACTTCTCTCCTTCCACTTTTTATGTGGGTTTCATCGAACTCAGACATTTTTATCTTTTATTTTATTTTATTCTATTTTTGGGGGGGGGGGGGTTCTCTGTGTAACAGCCCTAGTTGTCCTGGAACTCTCTCTGTAGACCAGGCTGGCCTCCAACTCACAGAGATCCTCCTGCCTCTGCCTCCCGAGTGCCGATTAAAGGCGTGTGCCACCATGTGTTAAGATACAGTGTGAGTGGGACCCTGGCAGGTCCCACTAGGAGTGGGTACCGCAGCGAGTGGCAGAATATGCCATGCAGAGAGAGACTGAGTGTGGAGTTTTACTGAGAAGAAGGTATGGGGGGGGTTGGGAAGGAAGGAAGAGACACAGAGACAGAGACAGAGGGAGACAGAGAGAGAGAGATGGAGAGAGCGGGAGAGAAGAGAGAGAAAGGAGAGGGAAAGAGACCCAGACCCACTGCCTCTGTGGGAAGAGTTTGGGAGTGAGCGAAACTTGTCTCTTAAAGGGACCTTTGCATCTGGTACAGCCAGGGAACTACTTGCCAATGTGCAGAGGGGTGCCAAGTTCCTGAGGGGCAGGCCAAGGCGTGCCTGGATGTTAACACAGCCCCTGGTGAGCTCATTTTTAGAGTAGAGAAAATAAAACTTCAAAATCTCAAAAATTAATTGTATTAAGTTCTTGTCTCCTTGTTGTGACAGAATTCCAGACAATAGGAACTTCAGAAGGAAGGTTTATTTCTGCTCACAATGTGAGAACACAGTCTGCCACAGTGGGGTAGCTGAGGCACCAGGAGCTTGAAGTGGTATTGCATCCAGTCAGGAAGCAGAGGGCCTTGTGTAGTGGCCACGCCTTTAAAGCCTTTTACTCTGCAGGTGGGGATGGGAGGAACAGAAAGAGAGAGGGGATGGGGGGGGATTCTAGTGCTTACCTTCTCTATTCTGTTCAGTCAGGGACCCCAGCCTATAAAATGGTGCTGAGCATGAGCCTCTGGAAGCTGGGCTGACAGGTCTTCTCACCTCTGTTCACCCAATCTAGAAAGTCCCTCACAGGCATGCCCAGAGGCCTGTCTCCTGTGAGTTTCCAGAGTCTCTCAAATTGACATCATAAGCCGTCACAATAGTTAAATGTTTCGTGTCGAACAGCAACAACTAAACTACTCACAGTGGACCAGAATTGTCTGTACCAAGGTTTGGCAAGGTTGTTTTTCACCAAATAAGGCTTTTATACTTATCATCTTTTGAACCAAATCAAATGAAGCCACCTTAAACGAGGCAATGAGAGGACATTCTCATAATTAAATTTGGGGTTTTTGTTTGTTTGGTTGGTTGTTTGGTTGGTTTTGGTTTTTGCACACATCTAGAAAACGTTTCCTTCAATGAGATTCTGAGAGACGGAATTGCTGAGTCAGACAGTCTACACTTTGAAAAACCCGGATTCTGTAACTGTCCCTGGAGATTTATTCCATGTTCATTAGATGTAAAGTTTCTGAGCACTTCCTGACTGTCAGAGTGCAATGCCCTAGGCTAGAGTACGCTACACCCTCTTCGGGGACAGCATGGCTCCTTAGGAGACCTTTATGCTGAGCACAGTGAGCCAACCTGAAGTACTCAATATGGGGAGTTTAAGAGTGAGATGCTGGGGATTGAAGCCAGGGCTCCCACATGCTAGGCCAGGTAGGGCTTGAACTTGGAATCTTCTTGTCTCAGCCTCCTGGTAGCACAGCTGAGAGGCCTTCACTGCCATGTGAGGTTCAATAAACATTTGTTAAATGAACAAATAGGATGGCTACATTAGCAAAGGCCAAAATGATGACATTTTAGTGTAACAGGCTGCATTTTTTGTTTGTTTGTTTGTTTGTTTGTTTTTATTATAGAGCAATCTGTCAGAAGCCAGGAAGTGGGCAGGTTTATAGATGATTGAAAAAAAAAGGCCTAACAAAGCAGAAACCTGTAGCCCGTTGTTTCAGAGCTGTTTTACTTCTTCTGAAGCAGCTGGGAGACAGACAATAAAAACATCAGATTGCTTCCAGGTAGATGTTGTTGACCAGAGTTAAAGCCTGGGAGCTTCATTATGGTGACAGCTGATGCTGGCCTCTGCTTTGTTTGCCTGTGCTCCCTCAGATTCTGCTTTCTCAGAGGGTAGGATAAACAGCATGGCTTCATTTTGTTACATGGACCTTTAGTAAATGACTTTTAGTAATGACTTTTAGCCTAGTCTTCTGGGGGGCTGGGTTAGTTACCTTTCTGTTGCTCTGATAAAATGCCATGATCAGACACAACTGAAAAAATGAAATTTATTTTTACTTATGGTTCCAACGAGTGAGTTCACAATGGCAGGGGCAAGACAGCAGCAGGTAGACAGAAAACTAACAGATCACATCTTGCTGGCATGCAGGAAACAGAGAAGGGGAACTGGAATGAACTGGAAGTCAGGCAAGGTTATAAACTCTCAAAGCCGGTCCCCAGGGTTACTTCCTCCAGCAAGGCTCCTTGCCCTAAGGGTTCCATAACCTCTCCCTACAGCACCACAAGCTAGGGACCAAGTGTTCCTATACAAGAGCCTGTGGGGGACATTTCTCATCCAGATCACCCTGGGGATCCAGGAAAAGAGTTTAGTCTAAGAGCAAATCCAAGACCTACAAGGTTGATGCCCTGGATGAATGTGCACCAGCTGGATTCCGCTATGCACCAAACCACTTTACTTGAAACCGCAGGCAGGCTCAGGGATGGCTCAATTAGTAAACTTGCCTTGCACGCCAGAAGGCTTAAATTCAATCCCCAGAGCCCACATCGAAAAAGCCAGGTGTGTGGGTGCGCGTTTATAATCTCAGTGCTGGGAAGGCAGAGACAGGTAGGCCCCTGGGGGCTCAGTGGCCAGCCCATCTAGCCTAACCACAATCTCTAGGCCAATGAAAAACTGTCTGTCTCAAAGGAGAAGGTGGACAGGCCAGAGAGATGGCTCAGCAGGCAAAGGTGCCTGACATCGAGACTGACAACCCGAATTCAATCCCCGGGACCCACACGGTGGAAGGAGAGAACTGATAGTCCCAAGTTGTCCTCTGATCTTTACAT